TTCAATTATCTTTGAGAGTAATAAAAATCTTCTCTGAAATTCAATTATTTGTATAGAATTTTAATAAAATTCTTGTCAAAATTTAAATTATTTTTATAAATAATAAAATTCATAAAGAATAAAATTCAAACTATAGAAATTTAATTATTTTCAAAAGTTCTGATAAAATTCTTTGCAGAATTTAAATTATCTTCAAAAAGTAAGAAAATTCTTGTCAGAAATTAAATTGTTTTCAAATTTTTTTTTTAAATTCTCCTCAAAATTTCAATTATCTTTGTAAATATCAAAATTCTTCTATAAAATTCAATTACTTTTAAACATTTTTAAAAAAATTTGTTCAACATTCCAATTATCTTTGAGAGTAATAAAAATCTTCTCTGAAATTCAATTATTTGTATAGAATTTTAATAAAATTCTTGTCAAAATTTAAATTATTTTTATAAATAATAAAATTCATAAATAATAGTAAAATTCATCCTGGAAATTTAATTATTTTCAAAAGTTTTGATAAAATTCTTTGCAAAATTTAAATTATCTTCAAAAAGTAAGAAAATTCTTGGCAGAAATTAAATTATTTTCAAAATTTTTTTTTTTAATTATCCTCAAAATTTCAATTATCTTTGTAAATATCAAAATTCTTCTGCAAAATTCAATTACTTACTGTTTTATAAATTTCTTTTCAATAATTCAATTATTTTCATAAAAAAATAATTTAAAAAATTTTTTTCTTATAAAGTCTTATAATATAAAATATAAAGATTTTATCACTCGGTCATCTTTAATTATTTTAAAACATGAAGACATCGATTACTCCGAGTCAAAGACTCGGAGTGATCGATTTCTTCATGTTTTATAACAATTTTTTATAAGTTGTTTAATTTCAAAAAAGGTTTGAATTTGAATCTTTTGAAAAATTTTAATTCCTATGGAAAAATAATAATGAAATATTTATTTAAAAAAGAAGTTATTGATGTTTTCGAAAAATTTGAAAGAAATTTGTAAATAAATGTAACAGAACATTTTTTTGACTCAAACTTTTTTCTTTAAATTTAAAAAAATTTTAAATTTCAGTCGCATTTTACTAAAAAAAATCTCGATAAAGTCGATTAGTCGCATTTTTTCAAAAAAAGTCGAAAAAAGTCACATTTCCTTAGAAGAGTGGAAAAAAGTCGAAAAAGTCGTACAATCCGAGCCCTGAATTAGACGATTAAGAGAAAGAATAAAGGAGAAGAACAAAGGATTATTTAAAAGAAACTTAATTTTCACTCCTATAATTAAAAGCATTCCTCAAATTTGTAGGATTAAAAAAAGATATTTTTTCAGCTTAGAATAAATTGTGGAGACGAAAAGTGAGAGGTTGAGGCAGATCGGATTGGTTCGAGTCCTTAATTTATTATTCGACGAGATAGAATGAAGAAAGAAGGGGAATTCGGTGAATTCTTTGAAGGAGCAGACTTTTCTTGATGGTTTGGAAGGGATAACAATGTAGTCGACGCCTTGAAACGATTGTCGAGGCAATTGAAATGTACAAATCGTCGAGCCATCAGGAAACTGTGTGCGAGAGAGAATCGTCCCATCGAGAACAAGAATTATATAGTTGTTCAACAAAATCAGCAGGACGATGGTGTGTATGGTGTGCTGCTCATGATGCCGACCATGGTATCGTATTCACGGTCGACTGCCCTCATGGTTCACAACCCTCCACCTCCAATTCTCCCAATTCACCCTCCTCTGATTTCAGCGTCTCCTCGTCGTAAAAAAATGCCACGACCACCCACTTTTTGAAGGCACACATGACTTTTATACTCTATCACCTATCACAATAGCTGCAAGTACATTTTGCGATTACATTCCCCCGCACATGATGTTTTCACAATCATAAACGAAAAATATGCCCTGTTTGCATAAAAGAACAAAAATATCCAAAAGAATCTGTTTTTTTAATTTTCGAATTCTTTTTCCAAAAAGATTATCTTTAGTCTTTCTTTTTTGGTTTGGCATTAATCGAGAAGAAATTTTTACATTCAACGTATTTTCTACTTCAATCGCATTGTTTCCGTGATGCATTAATTGCTCAATTGCCACACCGTATAATCCTTATACAACCCGAGAGCGGAAGTAGTTCAGCACTTTTTTTTCAAGTACTAGAACACTTATGTTTTCCAGACGTTGCATAGGGGAAATAAATGGGAAAGAAAAAATGACAGTGAAGAATAAGAAATTTTTACGGGGCAAGGGGAAAAAATAGCAAAAAAAGAAATTGTATGGACAAATGAAATACAATATTTACAATTTTTTGAATATGGATTAAAAAATCCGAAAAACAATGAAAGAGAAAAAGGGAAAAATAAAAGAAGATTAAAAAAAGGAATTGATTTTTTGGTTACAAGTAAAAATAACAAAGTTATCAAGGGGACAATACGATACTAATGGACATTTATGACATCAGAATATAGGATATTAAGCGTGACGATAATCTTACGGTGCGGCGAATAGAAATGACAAAGCGTGTACATTTGCCCTAATATTTAGGGGTGAATGGCAATACTATTTCTCTTTTTCAAAATTCACTTTTCCTTTCAATACACATTTTTCTCTTGTGAAAATCTACTTCTGATGGTAACTAAAACTTTTCTATTCTACACACAAAAATTGAATTTCACATGCAATTACAAGGTTGCAACAAAAATTTGATTTTGTTTTTTTCCTGATTTCCAGACAAAATTTTCACTTTTTCCTTGACTTAGAAGAATATTCTGATTCGATCGATTACTTCATGTTTTATAATAATTAAAGATAACCGATTGATAAAATCATTATTTTATATAAGAAGAATATTGTTACTGTAACTTTTTAAAAATTATTTTCATCATTTCAATTCAATTATTATTTTCTAGAATTTTTAACTAATATTCTTTTTTAAATCAATTATTTTTAATAATTTTTTTAAAAGTTCTTTGAGAATTTTTATTTCCGAAGAAAATTGAATTTGAGAAGAATTTTCTAAAAAAAAATTTTAAATAATTAATTTTTTTCCCTAAAATTTATCCAAATTCTATTTTAAAAAATTGAATTCTTGTCAAATTTTTATTATTTCTGAAAATAATTTAATGTTTGCGTAGAATTTTATCAAAAAATTTTTTTTCGTTAAATAATAGTTGTATTCTTTTGGGAAATTTTATGAAAATAGTAGATATTGAAAATCATGGCATTGCGAAAAATTTTTGAAAATGATTGAATTATGACAATTAAAATCTTGACGAGGATATGTTTTAAATTTATTAAAATAATTAAATTCCAATGAAAAATTTTATTGTTTGTGAAAATAATTTAATTTTTGGCAAGAATTTTCTAAAACATTTTTAAATAATTGATTATTTTCATAAAAATTATGCAAATTCTATTTTAAAAAATTGAATTCTTATGAAATTTATATTATTTATGAAGAGAATTGAATATATAGCGTAGAATTTGATAAAATTTTATTTTAATAATTGAATTTTTTTAGGAAATTTGATGAGAATAGTAGATATTGAAAACCATTGAATTGTAAAATTAAATGTAATATTAAAAAATGCAAGTAATTTCAACAGAATTGAAATCAAAATTTTTCAAAAAAAAATATTTCTACAGAATTATTTTTAAAAGTATGGAAAATTTAGATTTTAAAATATTTTGATTTAAAACCTTTTTAAAATTCAATTTTTTATAAAAATTAAATACTCATAAAGGATTTTATCAAAAATTTTTAAATAATTGAATTTTTTCGACGAATTTTAATAAAATTTTTAAGAATACACCAAATATTTCGAGGAATTGGATAAAAATTTTATTAAAAATAATTGAAATTCTGCGAAATTTATGAAAATATTTGATTTCCTAAATAAAAGTTTTTTATTTATGAAAATAATTGAGTCCTTGTACAACATTTAATTATTTATGAATATAATTGAATTATTACGAAGAAATTTATAAAAAAAATTTCTTCGCAATTATTTACAAATAATTGAATTTGACTTTTTAGAAAATATGTAATTGAAAATATTAAAAATAATTAAATTTTAAAACATTAAAATGAAGAAAATTCGAAGAATTACTTAATTCAAAAATATTTAAATATAATTTTCAGAAGCTATAATTTTCCTTAATTATCATCTTTAAATTAACACCAGAAGATTATTTACATTAAAGTTTTTGAGAATACAATTATTTTCAAAATTTGTAATTAATATTCTTCAGAAGTATGAAAAATTAAAAATTTCAAGGATTTTAATGTGAAACCTTTTCAAAATTCAATTATTTAAAAAAAATTCATCCTACAATGCTTTTAATATTCAATTATTATCTAAAATTTGCACTAAAATTCATTTTTAAATAAGTTTTTATTAGAAAATTCAACGAGAATTCAATTATTTAAATAGATGCAAAAATAAATAATTTATTGAATAATTGAATGTTTCTCAAAATTAAATTCTCATAAAGAATTTTATCAACCAATTTTTAAATATTAAATTTTTTTGACGAATTTTAATAAAAATTTTTATAATAATTACATTTTTCGAGAAATTTGATGAAAATTTTATTAAAAATAATTGAAATTTGGCGATGAATTTTATTATTTATGAAAATAATTAAATGTTGGTGTAGAATTTAATTAATTTTTTAAAAATATAATTTGAATTCGTTTGGAAAATTTTATAAAAAATAGTAGATATTAAAAATCATTAAATGGAGGAAAATTTTTTGATAATAATTGAAATTTTGTCAAAAATTTTATTAAAATTTTTGAAAAGAATTGAATTTTAGAGAAGAATTTCATTATTTTTAAAGATAATTTAAATTTTGACAAGTATTTAAAAAAATGTTTGAACATAATTGAATTTCTGCAGAGTATTTTATTACTTTTGAAAATAATTGGATTTCTGCAATCATTTATAACTTCTTCAAAATTTAATTTTTCTTAGTGTTTTTAACTAAAATGTAGTGTAAATTTATGATACCTTCTATTATTTTTCAACTGGAAATCATCAAAATCAACTGACAATCATCGCTTCATTTTATCGAGTAAACAATGAATTTCCATTTCCTCTTCTAATTCGGCAACATTAACTATTTATGAAATAGTCTTTTCTCTAACAATCGTAAAAATTTCTACCTGTAATCCAATGTAATCCTTTTGTCTTAATTTTAAATTCTTCTCCCGTCTTCAAATTTCTTTCAGCACACTCTAAAAAAATTTTTTAAATTAATTAAAATAATTAAAAAATTATTGAATTTCTGCGAAAAGTTTTATTATTTATGAAAATAATTGAAAAGTTCTGCGATAAAATTTATTATTTATGAAAATAATTTAATTCTTGCTAAGAACTTTATTAAAATTTTTGAAAATAATCTTTTTAGGAATTTAATAAAAATTTTATTGAAGGTAATTGAATTCTTTCGAGGAATGTTATTATTTATGAAAATAACACTGGTCGACAAAATTAAGGTTTTTTCTTGCTACAAGAATAAACGAAAGTGATTCTTACAGGATTTTTGACGTAGATTACGAATCTGTAAGCGAAATTGTCCCATCACATCTCAATTTTGAGAGAAACGGGGTCAAAGTGCCAAAAAATGGCTTTTATGGCACTTTTTGAAGTACAATAAAAAAGAACGCGACCATGTAGAAAAAATTCAAAATTGTGGGGAACAACTTTTTACCAATTTACCCTATATGATCGCTAAAATAATAGCTGTTTTACGCGCATGCGGCAAAAAGTTGTTCCCAACAATTTTGAGTTATTTCTACATGGTTTTTTACTTTTGGATGTTAAAGTTGAGGGTTTGAGCTCTCATTTAAGCCACATTTGAGCTTTTTATCACGTCGCGTTCTTTTTTTATTGTACTTCAAAAAGTGCCATAAAAGCCATTTTTTGGCACTTTGACCCCGTTTTTATCAAAATTGAGACGTGATGGGACAATTTCACTTACAGATTCGTAATCTACGTCGAAAATCCTGTAAGAATCACTTTCGTTTATTCATGTAGCAAAATTTTGTCGAACAGTGTAATTTTATTGTTACGAAGAATTTTATTTAAACTTTTTGAGAGTAATTAGCATAATAATTAATTAATTAGTAAATAAGTTAATAATTAATTTTTTTTAATTTTGAATCTAAAATTATTCAAAAATTGAAATTATTATTTAAAAGAAAAAAATTTTGTAATTTGCATAGTAATAATAATAAATTGAATTACCATGTTTCGCGATAGCTGGAGCGCGCGTAAAAATGCTAATAACAATAATAATAATATTAAATAAGGCAAATAAAGCGAAAACATTTGAACAATGAAAGATCTCGGACGTTAAAGATTATTTAACTAATAATATTAAAAATAATAATAATAATAATAATAATAAATTAGATATTAGAAGTGAAGAAATATAAAAATACAGAGTAAAAGATTTTGGAATAATAATAAATTTTTCCTATCGTCTACAGTGAGCGCATAGTTTCTTTTTCCATAAATCGGGGAAAAATAACAACTTGATTGAATTTCTCTAACGCTGATATCCGCACTCCCATTTTTAATGAAAACATATTACATATGAATCAAATTACAAGTGACATCTGTTCTTTCGCGGACAGCACTTTAGTATGTAATACTTATTAAAATACACTGGCAGATCAAAAGGTTTCATTTTGTAGGAAGAAAATTCATTATCGATTCCCTGATGAATTCCCAAAATGTAGATTAATGTCCTCGGGGATGTGTGACATTAGTTCATCTCTCTCTCTCTCTCTCTCTATGTATAAAACCCAATGTCACTTGTACTTTGTCTCATCAATCCCTTTTTCGAAATATAAGTTCCAATTGCCCTGATTAGGGGCGACACCAAATCAATATTAATAATTGAGACGAAAATTAACTCATAAATGTGAACTTCCCTTTTTTATAGATAAATTTACTATTTCTTACTCTGTTACAAATTTATAATTTTATAATTCGTGCGTTAATTACATTGATAAACAAAAGAATTCTATACAATAATTAAGAATCTGTAATTTTTACATTTTCTAAAAAAAAATTATTTAATTAATTAAATTAAAAAAAAATTATCCCCGAGAAAGAAAAATAGAAAAAAGTGACAAAAAGTTAAAAAACAATGAGATTTAAATAAAGAGGAGAAAGAAGTGAAAAAAGAAAAAATATAGTCTCTCGTGGAAGACAATTTGTGACATTCAGGAATTCGTTTTACGAATGACAGTTTTGCTTTTTTAGCTTTTTATACATGTTAACTGATGAGAGTCGAAACTTTTTTCAATATATATATAAATATATATTTACACGCACATAGAGATTATTTACAAATTTTTGCTTACGTACGCTTCTATTCATGCAGCATATAGACGCACTTGACGTATGTATAATATATAAAAAGAAACAGAAGAAAAATAACAGAAAGTTTTTCTCCATTTACAAAATATACGTATACGTTCTAATAGTGACGAATATTTTGCTACTTATTCTACAAAAAGGTATCGATAAAGCATTTTTAATTTAATAAATCGCGTCAAAGATTCCATTACGTATTTACAACGCACTTCATTTTTAAACAAATATATTTATTAACTTTTCAAAATAATGAAAGCAATGTTACGCGAGCGGGACGTGGTATTCAATCTATTATTATTATTGTGCAAATTACAAAATTTTCTATTTTTAAAAATGACTTTTTGAATAATTTCAGATTCAAACTTTAAAAAAATCCAATCATTAATTAATTTACTAATTACTTATTATTCTTGTTTATTAATTTCAAAAATTTTAATAAAATTCTTCGCAAGAATCCAATTATTTTTATAAATAATAACATTCTTCGTAAAAACTCAATTATTTTTATAAATAGGTATAGTAAAATTTTTTGCAAAAATTCAATTATTTTTAAACAAAATTTTAATAAAATTTCACGGAATGAAAACAATTAATAAACAATCCCTAAAAACAATTCAATTATTTTCAAAAGAATTCAATTTTATTTCTTAATTCGTTATAAAATCTTTGCAAAAACTCAATTATTTTCAAAAAAATTTCAAGAAAGAATTCAATTATTTTCTAAAATTTTAATAAATCCTTTCGAAACAATTCAATTTTATTTATAAATAGTAAAATTCTTTGCAAAAATTCAATTATTTTTAATACAACTTTAATAAAATAGAAGTCCATTTCGAATTTCCATTTTTAAGAGAATTCCATTTTGTTTTTAATTTTTAATATAATTATTTTTCGAAAAAATTCAATTATTTTTTAAAATATTAATAAATCTTTCGAAACAATTCAATTATATTTGAGGGGCTGGATGCTATAAGGTGTTACGCGCCATGTTAAGTAAATGGCGCGTAACACCTTATAGCATCCAGCCCCTCATTTATAAATAGTAAAATTCTTTGCAAACATTAAATTATTTTCAAAAAAATTTCACAAAAAAATTCGATTTTTCTCATAATTCGTTATAAAATTTTTCATAAGAATTCAATTATTGTTTTCTAAAATTCTAATAAAACTTAATAAATAAATTATAATTTGAATTAATTATTAACAAACACGATTATTTTAAAAACTCGAAAGAAATTGTTGATAAAATAAAATTATTTTCAATATTTTTAATTATACCTAACTATTAAAGAAACTCAATTATTTAAAAAAAAATGCAAAGAATTCTTCAAGAAGAATTTAATAAGAATTTTAGAAAATTTAAACAGAATTCTTCGCGAGAATTATATTATATTCCTAAATAATAAAATTCTTTGAAGGAATTTAATTATTATCAAATTTTTTCATAAAATTTTTTGCAACAATTCGTTTCGATTAAAATTTATTATTTGTAAATAGTTGAATTCATAAAAAATATTTTTAAAAAATTGAAAAAACAGGAAATTTTCTCAAATTTTATTTAAAAATTATGAAAAAATGAGGTTTTCTAAAAAACCGTAATTAAAATTATTTGAAAATAGTTGAATTCCCAAAAACTAATTCTAAAAAATTGAAAAAATAAGAAATTTTCTCAAATTTTATTAAAATATATTTTACATTCCAAAGAATTTTATTTTCTCACTTTAAAAAATTTTTATTAAATATAATTGTATTTTTTGAAGAATTGTAACTAAAAATTTGAAAAATAATTCATTTTAGTTTTGAATAATTTTATTCAAAAATTCTAAAAAATAATTGACTTTTGGAAAAATTGCAGTTGGTAATTTTTAGAAATAATTAAATTACAAAAGTTCTTACATTGAAGTTATTTAAAATTTCAATTAAAATAAATAACAATAAGTTTTTAAATATTTGTTTAACAAAAATTATTGAAGTTTTGAATACTTTATCGTAAAAATCCAAGATAAATTAAGTTTTTAAAAAATTGCAATGAAAATATTTTTGAAGATATAATTGAATTCCCAGAACAAAAATTTTAAAAACTGAAACAATTAAAAGTATTGTCAAACTTCATTTAAATAAATTTTATATTTGAAAAAATTTAATTTAATTACTTTTAAAAATTATTTCAAATATCTTATGTTGTAAATAAATAAATAAATTTAATCGTATTTTTGAAGAATTACATTTCGAAAAATTATAATTTTTAAAAAATAATAATAATTTTATTAATATTATTATTTTTCATAATCCTCTTCTATTATTATTATTATTGTTTATATTATTATTATCATTTTTGTTATAATTATTATTATTATTACTATTATTAAAAAATATCCACAATTAAATTTAAGAAATAAATAAAAAATGATTATTAATAAAATTATAATATTAAAAACACAGATTTAGAATTAGATTCATCGATTCCCTGTGTTCTTCGCCCTAAAAGGAGAAAGAATTCTTGGGCCCGAAAAGCGCGACTCGTTTAAAGCTATAAAAATTAATTATACCTAATTAGTGTCTGTTGTTTAGTCTCGGCTCTATTCTTTGTTCCCAGTATTGCGGTAGACATCAATTCCTGATTAGCAGAATCCCTGATGGTATCAGTTTGTGAATTTTGATTCAAACAATATTTGCCTCGTTCGTCTCGTTGCAATTGTCTCATCATTATAATTTCATTATACTTTCGATCTTCGTCTTCCATTGACCTACAACAAATACATTATTTTATTTTTAATTATTTCTCTAATTTTCCAATTTTTAATTTTCATGAACTTTTATATCCATTTAAAAAAAAGAACTATTTTTGTAATTTGAAAAAATTTTTTACATTTGTTTATTTTTTTTCCTTTGGAAAAAATGAGTTATTTTTCACAAAAAAAAATGATGATTGATAATGAAAAAAGTTGCTCTAGATGAGAGTTCATTTAATTTTGGAAACAATATTTTGGAGAAAATTTATTGACCGTGAAAGAAATAGATTTTTTTTAATAGAAAGAGAGGCGGGAGTGATGTTGAATGCCTCGTTCAATTTTTTTTTTTTACCAACTCGTCGAAGAATGAAGAAGTCCTTTACCTGTTCGAAGGCTAACAATAGTCGCACTAAATTATATAGATGCATTTAAGAAGAATTTATAACTATACTGTTGAGAAATTATGCTGAGAAATGATAAACTAATAGAGAAAATTTAAAAAATGCTTAGTAAAGAATTTTAAGTGCCATCCTTGAAACAAAAATCTAAATTCTACGATTCTAAAGTTCTGAACGTTCAAATGAACGAAATTTATTTATTTCTTCTTCAATTTAAATTTTTGTTACAATAATTTTGTGTCACTATAAAAAAAATTAATTATAAAGTTTCTAAGTGTAAAATTTAAGTTTTTAATTTTTATTGCGAACAGTAATTTATAAAAATATTTCTAATAAAAATTATTTATTCATTTGAACGTTCAAAACTTGTGGATCATGATTTTCTTTCCAAACATTCTTTAGTTAGCAGTAATTTTATTTTTAATCGAGTATTTTCCATTACTATTACTGAATAAAAAGTAATGCTTTTTATTATTCTTTTTCAATAATAAACAAATAAAAATATTTTTTGTCAAGTAAATACTTTACTTTCATTGTGTATAATAAATAACAATTTTTTTTTTCCATCAGTGGAACAATTTCTTTAAGTTAAAACCAGTTTAAACTTGGTGCACAGTTTTCTATTCACATCTATAAGAGTAAAATTCTTTTCTTATTCAAGTGACTTGGATTTCACTCCATTCAGGAAGAAAGAAACCTGTAAGAATTTAAGAGTATTTGCGTTAATAAATTAAATCTGACATAATTCGAAAAATTAGGGGGGAAAAAAATTATCGAATTGTGAATTCTAAAGGGAAAAATCAGCACATGGTATAAGCGTGAACAATGAACAGAATCGAAGATACTGGATTTTCTTGTTCAATTCTATCACCCACAATTTAATCTTGACTATATCCCTTCACACTTTACGAGGGAATCGTACGAAATCAAATTGAACAATTTAGCCTCAAATTGCCTCTAATATGAACCTATTTTTTCTTTGTTCCATTTTCTTTCAATCAGATCCCAATTAATATCTCCGAACAAAATAAATTTTCGTTTCATCAAAATATAAATCAAAATTTCACATCGGGTTTGCCACAAAAATTTAATTTTGTTTTTCCCCGACTTTTCCCTGATTTCCAGACAAAATTTTGACTTTTTCCCTGACCCTAAAGAATATTCTGATTCACTCTAAAAATGATTAGATACTCAAAAAATGTTCTATTTCTTCACCTAATTATAAAATTATTCAAAAACTTTAAAAACTTCACTTTTAGTTAAATATTTAATCACTATTATTTTTCCAAAGGAATTAAAATTTTAAGATTTGAAATTCAACAACTGATAGGAAATATTATTATAAAACATGAAGACATCAATCACTCCGAGTCTTAGACTCGGAGTAATCGATTTCTTCATGTTTTATATAATAAATTAAAGATGACCGAGTGATAAAATCAGTATTTTATATTATAAAAAATATTGTTACTGTAACTTTCTTCAAAATTATTTTCATCATTTCAATTTAATTATAATATTTTCTACAATTTTTAACTAAAATTCTTCTTTCAATCAAATATCTTTAAAAATTATTAAATTAATTATCAATTATTTTTAAAAAAGTTCTTTGAGAATTTCCAAATCCATTTGTTTACAATTCAACTTTAAAAAAATTCAATTATTCGAAAATTCTTCAAATATTAGAAAATGAAAACTTCATATAATTTAAAAAAAAAATTCAATTTAACTTTTTCAAAGAACTTAATTCTACAGAATTGTTATTTAAAAGTATGAAAAATTCAAATTTTCAAAGATTTTAATAATAATTTAAAACCTTTTCCAAATTCAATTATTTCTAAAAATTGACGTTATAATGCTTTTAATATTCAATTATTATCTAAAATTTTAACTGAAACTCGTTTTTAAATCAATTTTTATTAGAAAATTCAATTATTACAATACTAAAATAATTATTTTATTGAATAATTGAACGTTTCATAAAATTTAATTCTCATACAAAACTTTATTAACAAATTTTTAAATTTTTAAATAATTAAATTCCAGAGAAAATTTGTATTGTTTGTGAAAATAATTGAATTTTAATACAATTTTAGAGAATAATTGCATTTTTCGATAAATTTATTTAAAATCGTATTAAAAATAATTGAAATTCTATGATGAGTTTCATTATTTATAAAAATAATTGAATTCTTGAGAAGAAATTTATTACATTTTTTTTAAATAATTAAATTCCCGTAAAATTTTTTATTATCTCTGAAAATAATTGAATTCTTGCGAAGAATTTAAAAATAATTGAAATTCTGCGATGAGTTTTATTATTTATAAAAATAATTGAATCCCTATAAAAAATTTTATTATTTATGAAAATAATTGAATTATTGCGAAGAAATTTTTAAAAAATTTGTAAATAATTGAATTTGACATTTCGGAAAATATGTAATTGAAAATATTGAAAATAATTAAATTTTAAAAAATTAGAATGAAGAAAATTCGAAGAATTATTTTTGTCAAAAATGTTTTAATATAATTTTTAGAAACTAATTTTCTTTAATTTTCATTTTTAAATTAACATCTGAAAATTTTTCACATTAAAGTTTTTGAGAATACAATTATTTTCAAAATTTACAATTTTTATTAGAAAATTGTACAAGAATTTAATTACTTAAATAGAAAAATTAATAATTTATTGAGTAATTGAGTGTTTTTTAAAATTCAATTCTCATAAAGAATTTTATCAACAAATTTTTAAATATTTGAATTCTTTTGACGAATTTTAATAAAATTTTCAAGAATAATTACATTTTTCTAGAAATTTGATTAAAATTCTATTGAAAATAATTGAAATTCTGCGATGTTTTTATTATTTATGAAAATAATTGAATTCCTAAAAATAATTTAATGAATTCTGAAAATGTCGAATTCTTGCAAAGAATTTTATAAAACTTTTTAAAAAATTGAATTCCACTAAAAAATTTTATTATTTGTGAAAATAATTTGAATTTCAGCAAAGAAGGAATTTTTTTAAATAATGGAAGTTCTGTTAAGAATTTTATTACATTTGAAAATAATTGAATTCTTGTTTCAAAGATTTTAATTTGAAATCTTTTCAAAATCCAATTATTTCGAAAAATTCATGCTATAATGCTTTTAATATTTAATTATTATCCAAAATTATAACTGAAATTCATTTTTAATGCAGTTTTTACTAGAAAATTACATTTTCCAAGTCAAATTAAAATTGTTTTAAAAATAATTGAAATTCTGCGATGAGTTTTATTATTTATGAAAAGAATTGAATTATTGCGAAGAAATTTATAAAAAATTGGTAGATATTTGAATTCCTGTAAAATTGTTATTATTTATGAAAATAATCTAATTATTGCGAAGAATTTTATCAAAAAAATTTTTCTAAATAATTGAATTGTTTTGGAAAATTTGATTGAAATAGTAGATATTGAAAATCATTGAATTGAATTAATCATTGAATTTTATTAAAATTTTTGCAAATAATTGAATTTTGGAGAAGAATTTTACTTTTTATAAAGATAATTAAAATTTTTACGATATTTCTAATCAAATTTATTGAAAATTGAAATTTCTGCACAGTTTTTGAGGCAAACAAAAAAGACACAAAAATTGAGAATTTTCTTATGAATTCTAAAAATTTACTTTTTCACAGTACTTTGAAGAAAAATCCCTGACTTTTCTCTGATTTTCCTGACCAATTCTAGTTTCCCTGACTGTGGCGATCCAGTATATTTTTACATTCACATTGTTTTTTTAAACAAATGTAACGATAAATAGAAAAAATGCTTTAAATCAGCTTTAAATAAAATCAACTACAACCAAATTAAAAAAAAATTAATACACAAATAGCGAAAAGGTTCGATAATTATTGTATGACCGTTGAAAAATTGAGTCGTAAAATTTCTTATCACACCACCGTCCATTGATTTCATATTTTTTCCCCCCTTTTTTTTATAACTATGAATTCATAAAAAAAACAGGTCCATAAAAATGAATCAATTTGAAACTGACTTTATCATCCCTTTTTCTTTTTATTATCACGCAAAATTTGGATTATCAGGGGGATGATATTTGATATGTAATACAAAAGTACACAGAGTGCATGAATTCATGATTACTGAATTGGTTTTAGTAAAACTCGGGTATATTCTCTTTTTTTTGGTTCATCGTAGAACGAGTGATAGGGATGAATAAGGGAAGAAAAGAGAAAAAGTGAGAATCGAGGGGGGATAGCTTAAAACGAATGGATAACCAGAATCTCGTGCCGTGTATTTAAGGGTGACTCGCGATAGTCGCGCGCCAGTTCTGCGGCCGCTTGGCCCCCGAGAGGTTCATCTTTTTTACTCCTAAAAAAAGAATAAAATAACATATAAACAAAAAGTTCATTTCGCCACGTGACATTGAATAATTACGAGAGAAGAAATTTCATTATCACTTTTTTTTTCTCAATTACATTAAAAAAAAAGTTCTCCTGAAATAGGTTCGTCTAATTTCTAAAATTTTAATTAATCTCCAATTAAATTTAATTAATTTTCCGCAGTGATAAAATTTCTCCCCCCAATAAAAATAATTTTTCAAATTATAAAA